GTTTAACATACAGTACATCACATTTGGAAAAATACCTATTTTGCAATACTTAAGACTGAAAAGCTTAAAAATTGTATTTTTCAATGCAAGAATGGATGAATACTTCCTTTATAGGAATTTCTCCTGCTCTGTGAAAAAAAAACAGAATTGGCTATATAATAATATTGAGAGCAAAATGTTTATTCATCTCTGATTTGTTACATTTGAAAGCACAAAACTGTTTGCTATTCACCCTCTCTTCATGTTTCTTGTGTACTGTATGAATGTATTCTCCTGCAGGATATGGCACAAAGTGGTAATAATGTAAGCTACTTTCTTTTGTTGGTGTGAAGGCAGGGGCACTCAGTCTTGGACCTGGAGTGTCATGGACATTTTAGGCACAAGGAAGAAATGGAAATGTAGACCATTAATTGAGTCATTAATTGAGTTCAGGTAGGGCAAAAATCAGGAAACCATTTGGCTATTCAGAATCAAAGAGTAAGTATTGCTAATTTAATGTTTTGATATTAATTTTGCAGCCAGGAAGACTTCTAACTTCCTGTTATTCCATTCCTATTACCCGTCCAATAATCAGGCTAGTACACCTCCACAAAGTCACTAGCACAGAATGAAAGAGCATCACAGGGTACTAAAACAGATCACTTTCTGATTATACCTGACATTAGGTTGTACGATTCATATTTATTTGACCTTGTAATTCTAGTATTTTTGAGTGAAAACTAGATCTTTCACGTATTATTCCTTATCATCTAAAGCCAAGCAACGTCAACAATCTTTTTTAAATATACCCAGCATGGCCAAAAATTAAAACGATTCTGAGGAGAATTACAAGGGCCTTGCATTCTATATCAGAATTTTCACCAAGAAAAGAAAAGCCCAGAACAAGGCCTATTTATATCTTTTTTGCTTTCAGCTCTAAAATCACAAATCTTTCATCACTATTGCAGCTTAAAGGTACAGACTTTATTGCTGTCCAAGTTCCCCCAACTGTATCCTGGATATGAGGTCACTCCATCCCAATGCTTAACAATGGTTATTGTTTGAAGTAGCTAAAATTCTGCTTCCTGCAGCTGATATGTAAACTAAAACACACAGAACGAGGTGTTTCATATTGTTTCAGGTAGAAAGTACCACTCAAGCAATCCCCTAAGGACATTTGCTTTCCCAGAGTCAGACAAATCTAGTAATAATCCCACAGCCTTAATTTAGAGTTTAGTAAAGAGCACAGGAACTACCAGTGCCATGCAGTCTGTGTGTACAGTTTCATTTAGGGGAATTATAAGAATCTAGCTAGAACTAAAGGAGATAGAGAATTACTGTCACAGACACACTCATACAGTAATTTTATATGGTGTGAAACAGAAAAGGATCAAAATTCAGTAAAGTTCAGTGGAGTTCAGTAATCTGACAGTTTTGTGGGAAGAAATCTCTGAATCAGGAAATCCATGCCTGTATACCCCTATAACACTTACCAGAGGGAATACAGGAACAAAGGTGAGAAACCAGGATGAATGGTATCCTTAGCAATACTTCCAGCTTTCCTGAGAGAGCACGTTTTAAAAAAGTCCACAGTAGAGGGGATCTGTACTCCAGTGATGGACTGGGCTGACCTGATCACACCCTGTAATGCCTCCAAGTCAGACAACGAGCTGCTGCCAAACTGCACTGTAATACCAGACGTGAGCACACTCTCAATAGCACACCTGTAAAATGTGGTAAAGACAGCTGAAGATAGACCTCATTTTTTCAGCTGCTATAACACTGGCAGCAGCACATTTTTCTGACCTTCTAACAGCTCAGCTCACCTGTTCAATAGGAGAAGGTGCCACCATTTCCAATCAACAAGTGAACACTAGCTATGACTCTTCCTATATCATGCCCAGAGATCAAGATCAGGAGAATAACTCTAAACAAGGGCCGTGCTGGAAGATAGATGTGTTGGTGTGTCCTGGGAACCTTACATTCTCACCTTCCTGTGTGCTCATACTGCTGTGACAACATTCCCACAGTACAAACAGGGCCTAGTGCTGCTCTTGTAACAGCAGCTGTCTTGTAAGATACAAATGTAGCAGTGATGCTATGGATGCCCTGTTGGATAATCTTGAGCTCTTTTGAACATTTGTAGGATAAGCTGGGATGACATATGGTATCTGAAGCTCAGATACCAGTGACCAACAACATGCATTTCCAGGCTGTACAAGAGGAGTAGGATAGAATTATGCTGCCTGCTACAAAATATACACATTGCAATGCTTCCTATTGTAGTTCACACTGTAGAGCTCATCACTGTAGCACTCATCAACTCTGTTGTGATCAATGTTAACATGCATTATGATCTTGTCTTTCTGTGATGTCTTTTTAATACAAAGTCTGTTTACCTGCTGCAAAAATACACCTGAAGATGAATATCAGCTGACACCTGAAGAAGGTTCCACAGCCGAAACGTTGTGTCACTTTTTTTTTCAGCATGGAATAAACCTTTACTTGTTCCTTTGCAGCCTACACATGCTGCAAAAATGTTTTGTTATTTCTGCTACTACCTTTGTTAATTCATTGCAGTTCCGACAAATTTCTGTTGAAACTTTCTTTTTCGTAGCATAGATTTTTTTTTACAATTTATTTAAACCTCGGCCACCACATGCATCCAAATATTTAACACTTGCTGACTACTCACTGACACAAAAACCCCATCAGATTAAGAGTAGTTTAACCAAATGGAAAATTAAAGCATTGCATAAAGAGGTGAGATTTCTACAGCTTTCCTATAATAACATCAATCTAGAGCTTTCATTCAAACTGTGTCGCATTCGCCAGTAAAATATAGTTTTCCTCAGAGATTATTGTCCTCCAACTAACATTTACGGTATCATACATCTCTTGAGAAAAATGGCTAAAAATTACCTAAAATAACCCCCTACTTTAGGTTCCTCTGAAGTCTTGGATTGAACTGAATCTGATGAATCTGATTTCGCTAGTGTGTGTTTTGGCTATTATTTAGCTATTCTACAAAAGAGTATTATAAAGGCTATTTCAAGGTATGTTTATTTTTTGGGGGGCTTTACCAAATAATTCAGCATTCCTGTACAGCCTGATGGCATATGGCTCCTATATATGTTTTCTAAAACTTGTATAGACATTCAGATGATCAAGACATCAATCAGGATATTTACATATTATTCAAGATTACATTTGGAGGAAAATGTTTAAAAAATGTACTATATCATCTAAAATTCCACAAGAATAAACAGTTTAATCTTTTGTCTTCTGCAAGTCAAATTAATCATCTGCTCTGGTTCAGGATACCAACGGTCCTGTTTTCCCTGGACTGTCCTTCTGGTCTTGGTGTTCTCACAGTGGTTCTGAAAAACATTTTGCCCTTCCTTTTGAAATGCTGACTCAGTTTTGTCCCAGTTCCATAAAAACCTCCGGGGCGGGCAGAGCAAAACACCAACTCTACTGTCACATTTTCATACAAAGCCCTGTGTAGCCCTGAGTTACAGAAAGATCCAATAGCCTCCTGGACCTCACAGTACCAAATACTGTAAATGTCCTAGTTTTGGGTTAATACCAATAATTTAAGTCTAAGGGTCTGCTAAGAGCCTGGGTCATTCCAGGAAAGAATGATCTTTAACGTCACCCAGTGAATGTCACGGACATCCAAAGGGGCTAACCGTGGAGAGCAGGAGAGTGGAAAAAGACCCACATGCGTAGCGGCAGACCGGGAAAAAGGCCCGGGCTCAGCAGTTCAGGAGTCAGGTAGAAACCAATGCCCTCAGGCAGCGGACATGGGCGACCTGGGTGGTTAGGCGGGTTTCAGGACATCCGAACGTCAATGCTGAGTGAGGGCAGAGTGTAAGACCCGGAAATATATAGCCCAAGGGAAAGAGAGGGACCGGAAGGACAGCAGGCAGGAAACTAGGGACAGGACAGAGTAGGAGCACCCTCTGGCTGCAGAGGGCGAGACAGTGAAACCAAGAACCAGATTATTCCACGACAAATAACATCAGATATGCAGCCATACAGAACCTGAAAAACACAAAGCTTTTTTTATCCCAAAATGTATCTCCATCCCTGTTTAAAATAGGAACAAGGAATGTAATAATTCCAAAAACAATTCCGTTGCTTTGGAGCTGAGTTTCTCATTCCATATTGTCCAAATTGTCAGACCATCACAGACCTCAGTGGTGACACACACTCAGAAAAGTGCTTTGCATCTCTGCTGCAGTTTTCAGCTCTGTCCCATCTTTAAAAAGACTGCCAACTGATGAGTACATCTTTGTTTTGATGACCGCCATTTTTTGTTAGGATATACACTAGATGCCCAGTATAGCTGAGGCCAAGATATTTAGAATATATAATACATAACACAGAGCAAAGTGTGGCATAATCTCCTAATCTGTTCAACACAGCTTACTTTATTTCTAAGGGTTTTTTAATTCAAATACTAAAACTATTTACTTTCAGGAATACGAATAGCAAAATAAAAAACAATGTTGAAGCCAGGTGTCCTATCAGTGCAAGGACTGTAGTGAAATCAATTGATGGTTTCTAGGTCAAACTGTTTTATTGGCAGACTCATACCCAGCCACCTTGTCCAGGTGAAACTGCACTTCAGTAACTCCCACAGGATCTTAGACAACTTTTGCGTGATCCCAGTCCTGTTTCTTCTCGCGTCAGGCTAATCAACACTTCACATTCACAAGAGTCACAAGCAGCTTTCTCTTACCAGCTGTACTGAAATGTCAAAATTCATAGAAGAACCCATAGCAATGCCTATGCAATCCATGCAAGTGCAAAAATATTAAAAATGTTTGAAAAGATTTTTTCTCACAAATAATATCACATTTTCATTTCTGCTTCACCTTATTTTGTGTTTGGGTTACACTTATCTGTGCTAACTTTCTGACAAATTCTTATTTCTTAAAGCGAAACACAAAATTGGTCCTTTTTCGTAGAAATGAAAATTGTCTCAAAATCTTTAATTTAGCTTGCATCTTGTTCGTAATTGTCTTTTCTATCAAAAGGAAATGCAGTATTATTTTTTTACAGAAAAAAAAAACCTCTTTTGGAATATTTCACTTGGAGTGCATCTGGTAACTAGCAAGTAGAAATGTCCTTATTATGTATAAATTAATACAGAATCATTTAGCGGTGTCCAGTCCCCCTGTAATGGAAAAAGGACCCTTATCAGCAAGTGTATGACTATGCTATCTTGCAAAATACAAAGCACGTTCTTGATCAACTTGTAAAACATTAGAGAATTTAAAGTGGATGTATTCATTTTCTCTAGTTCTCTAGTACAGTATGTTTTAGGTTCAGTAGTAAAGAATTGTGTAGTAAACTCAGGTCTCTTAACTTATTCTGCTCTTTAGCTGTACCTTCAGTTAGTAGCTCTGTTATACAACACAAAAGACCACTGAGAAATGTCCACAGCCCGTGAAAGGAGCCTTTGTTTCCAACACTGTTTTGTTAGGAAATAGTTGCTATTTAGGTCTCCAAGAGGGAATATAAAACTGTGCTCACCTAATCAAACAGACTGGTGAATGCAAAGGAGACCAGTTAATCCAACAGTCTGAAATTCCATGAGCCTGCTAAGAAAAACATATCTACATAAAGGTTAATTTACTGCCTTTCTAAATCATAAATCTTAAAATTACAACAGTCTGTTGTTTTCAATGACAGTGTGCACCAGTATGTGAACTAATTTTTATATCAGGAAATATTACGGAGAAGACTTTTGGTAAGAAACAAAACAAGCCACGTTTTTCAGCAAAGGTGACAGCGCTCAATTAACAGATGTACATCTGATGTCACCACCTACAGTATACTCATTTCATTACCTCTGATTTTGCAAACCATATGCAACACATCCCAGATTCCTGGTGCTTTTCAAGTACATAAGGGCACTATGGGAGCCAGACGCTGCACATATTAGCAGTACATTTTCCAAATATGATAGCAGGTCCTTCAGTACACCTTAAGCCTGAAATATTTTGATACAGAGGCCATAAATCCACTGTGGAATGTTTAGATTTGAATTAGCCTATAAGGCAGAGAAATATAAGAAAAAAACATTTTTTTTTAAATATTTTGTCATTGCTTAGTAGGGTTTGTCTTATGAAAAATCCTGATTTTTATTTAGTACTATTCACAGAGACCACACCTTGTCTTAGAGTACCTGATGAAAAAATCTGGAATATTTCATGTGAAATACAGGTAGACCCACAATGATGTGGTTTAGCTGTGGGGAACTTCATGTTGCTATGCAGCAGTAACTCACTGTGCAGTAGCAGATTAAGTTTTGATTGCATGCAATCCGTATAAATAGGCTTTTCTGTAATCCTTCACTACCAGTTTGGCTCCTTGAGTAAAACCCCTTTTATACCAGAAGTAGGCATAAGCTAAAGGATCTACAATTTTCCAGACAGGCATTTAGGAATGTTCTAACGTTGTTTAGCAAAGACAAATGTGAAAAAAGGTATTTGATAAATTAATTTTTTAGATTTCCATTTTTATACTCCCCATTCATTCTGGAATGAAGGCAGTACATTTGGTCATAACTAATATAGGTAATGTACAGTAAACTGTAAATACATCTTTTAACAAAAGGGTAGAGTGAAGATAAAAATATAAAACTTAAATAAATGTATGAACTTGCAATACTGGTATTTCTACCTTTTGGTACAGCACAAATACATATTTAAATTCATACTCGGTAACCTTTTTTAAAACTTTTCTATAGTAATATAGAAACAGTGAAAAATATTATTTGTGACACTTCAGTATTCTTCAGTGCCCTGTCTGAGAATTTTATTTGTGCCTTGCTTTTACTCACTTCTTCTCTTTCATGAGAAAAAAATATGAGGCTTCAAGGAAGGCAGCCTGACCTCTTCTGTGTTCAATTACAAAACATTGTGTACGCCGTGACTTCCAGGCCGTGGAGATTGGGAACATTCAATACAGACATTAAAATGTTTATGAAAAACTGGGTGAGGACATCTGCTTCTACTCAGCAGATAACTTTTAGGCCTTGGTGAATTTAAGCAAGAAATGTACATAGAGAATAGAAGGGCATAATATGGTTGAAAAAGAAAAAAAAGAGTTTTCCTTGTAATAAATCTGATTTGTGTTGTTTTTAACAACTAAGAATTTTTTTTTTCAGGCTCTGCTTTTACCGTATGTAAGAACTGTAAATTGTGGCTATACAATAGCAAAAAAAAAACTTAGATTGTTTAAGGAGTCTGCAGCACTAATGCATTAAAAAACAATCATAAAAGAAAATGACAAGTCAAAGCTTTCAAATTTTCCTATATTGGTAATGTACAAATTATTAACAAAAATACAATTTTGACTGGGTTGGTATCTCTGCTTCATCTGGCATTAGGTTGTTTACACTTCTTGTCTAGACAGCTTTATTCTTAAGGTTTGGAACAATTGTATTATACTTATTGTATTTATGTACAGTAGTTCTTGTACTTATGAAGTTGTCCTTGGGCCAAGAGTCAAGTAAGAATGAAGGAATAAATTAAGACATAGATGATCAAAAGGTTTCTAAGAATCTTGGTAAAACAAATGATAGAAGAGAGCTTTCTGTCTTATTCGTTTGGAAAATTGGATTTCCCTTGTTGTAGAATCTGGAGAGTACGATTGTGTGTTCTATTTTAGTAATGTCTCTACGAATGTCTTCATTCGTAGTGTAACAACTGTATGTTGTGTAATAATTATATGTCATCCAACAAAGGTCCTTCCAATGTTTTTCACAAAACACCTTTGTGCCCTGAACCAGGATTCAATAGTCCTGTCAGATCATAAAATAGATACTGCATATAATAGAGACGAAATTTATGAGAGCTTTGTGTGGCACAACGATGCCTGTACCACCAACCGGAACCCCCAGAAGCACAAATGCAGAATTCTTTATAACACGGTTCAATGTGCACCATCTTAAACTGGCTGGATTGGTTTGCATATTAAGGGGATTAGAGGCTTCCGAAGACCTCCAACCCAGAGTTTGAAAGTGGAGATCAATATTTGGATATGGGCTGTAGAAGATGCTGCGCCAATGACAAGGACTTAAGCCACCTTTAGCTGGCACGACAAGTGCAATAGAGTGTATTCACCATTGATTGTCGAAGTGTAGAGGGTTGGAAGGGATGCCTGTCACGCCCTCTGCAGCCAGAGGGCGCTCCTTCTCTGTCCTGTCCCTAGTTTCCGGTCTGCTGTCCTTCCTGTCCCTCTCTTTCCCTTGGGCTATATATTTCCAGGTCTTGCACTCTGTCCTCCCTCAGCATTGACGTTCGGAAGTCCTGAGACCCGCCTAGCACCAGGTCGCCCCACGTCCGCTCCCTGAGGGCATAGGTTTCTATACGGCATTCCTGAACTCTTTGCACTAACGAGCCCGGGCCTTTTTCCAATCTCGCCGCTACGCATATGGGTCTTTTTCCACTCTCCTACTCCCCACGGTTAGTCCCTTTGGACGTCCGTAACAATGCCTTTACGAGATGCATGTAACTGGTAGTGGAAATAGTGAGGTTTAAAAGACTGTTTACGTAAATGCGTTATACGAAGAATTCCCTGACCTAAGAAGGTCATGCAACATACAGAGGAAGAGATATTGGACTGTGGTATCAGAAATCCTATGTTTCTAAAGGGGGAAGCCTATGGTCTTGACTGAATTATAGAAAAATTGCAGTGTGCAGTAAGATTTGGTTGCAGATAGAGACCAAGTGAGACATCTGGGAAGGTTTGTAATACACAGAGATTTAAAGCACTCTTATTTAATGTGTTGTACACTGTATAGCTATGAAAGAGTGGATCAGAACACATTTTGGCTCCAAGGATAACCCCTTAATAAGGAACAATGGAGATTACTATAAAGTACAGATTTCAAAATGCTACAGAGGAAACTGAAGAGATTCATGAGGTCAGGGAGTCACAAACATTTTCTTTTCCAAGTAAACTTAGTAGTACAAAGATGTTACTGTATATTGGAGGCATGGTTGAGAGGATAGTTGGCAGACCTTAAGAGACATATAGCACAGTGTAGTTTAAAAGCTCACATTGAATAAGAAATTCATAGAAATTGACTTAAAGCACCCAAACTTGGATGATGGCTAAAGGTAGAACTGAGGATGAACCCTAGAGATGCAAAGAGGAAGACTGATTTTTTTCCATGCTGAAAAGGACTCTGACAAGACTGAAAGAGTTCTAGAAGGGAAAGCAACAATTAATAAAAAAATCAAGAAAGATCCAACTTATCAATGAAGGAATATGCAGCAGAGTGGTACTGTTTAGGTGAGGAGAAAGAGTCAAGGACTGACACCGCACCAGTTGGACATCAGAAGGTGGGTCAGGGGTAGGACGGAACCTGTTGTTGTCACACCAGGCTGTGAACAGGGACAGTGAGGGCTGTAAACAAGGTGAACTGGACCCAGAACAGACTGATGCCATGTGCTCACATGACTGAAGGAAGCAGAAGGGTGAATTGGGGAAGGGGAAAAAATTAAAAACAGGCAAGGACCGTAGGTGCAGTTAGTTGGACTCTCAAACAGAAAAGAAAGGAAAAGGAGAGAGTGAGCGGACTATAGGAAAGAGGAGGCAGGCGAGAGGAAAGCAAGCAGAGATTGTGTAAGGGGTGTTATGAGGGCAGAGATTGCAGAAGAGATAGAGGGTGGGGAAAGAAGGGGAGCCATGATTCTTTTGGAGCTCCAGGAGAGAGGTGACATCAAGAGAACTGGAAGAATGAGCAGACATTGTGGGAGGTGAAAGGGGAACTGTTTTCTTCCAAGTTGTCCAATATGGCAAGAACATTACTTCCATCCTACCATGGAAGAGGCGAAGAGTGGTTGGATCACTGTGTCAGGCTGTGCTAGGAACAGGAGCGAGATCAAGGAGATGATGAGGTGGGAGACAGGCAAGGAGTGTAGGAGAGGGGCAGGAGCAACAAAGATAAGTCTAACAACAGCGAGTATGAGAGACGGCTTCTTGTTTCCTCAAAGCAATGTTCTACTCAAAAATGCATAGCTCGCAATATGCAGATCCAAACATGATATCTGATCATTCTGGAACAGGTATATTTCAAACATTTATTTTTATATTAGTGTGACATAATTCCAAAACACTTACTCAAATACTTGGGAAAGGTATAACAATTGCTGTATACCAGATGCCTATTCTTTTGTGTTACTGTAGCTTTGATAACCCTGAAACCACAGGCCTTTGTTTCACAACAGAGCTTTCTCTAACGGGAGAGAGGTGGTTTTGAAATATTTTCATTCCTTCTGCTCATTTTTGGTCTTTAGACTTCGTAAGCATCCTTTAATGCTACAACAGTTGTTTTGACATGCAGAACTCTTGATGTCTTATTCACTCTTTTTAAATCACCATTTATGTTGAAATAAAGTGTGTTACTTAGAGAAAGGATGTAGAAAATATTTAATGTAAAGATTTCCTGCATAAAGCTGCATCTCAGCAGGGGCACTGACTTTTTAAAATATATTCCCTTTACGAGGGGAGTCCCACACAAACACACCTATTGCCCCAGGGCCCTCTGAAATATTGATAGGTTTGTGGCAGCCTTCTGAATAAAATGCAAGTAGATCATTGGCAATGACAAAGAACTTTTGACCATAAAACTTTCCTTAAGGCCAGGTAGATTTTTTTTCTTTGGCATTAATATGCATCATATAGGCCCAGTGTTTGCCTTCTCAATCCTGTGTATTTTGTGGGATAAAACATGTAACATATATCTACTGGCTAAATTTAATTTAAAAATAACATAAGCAGAACAAGCCCCTCACTGTAACTAATGCACCATGAGACCCCTGTGTTTGATTAATTGTCTAAGAAAAGATAAACGCGATGGTGTTCCTTACTTTAAAATATCAAAATGCAGTGATAAAACTAAGCCTTAAATCTATGCAACCTAAGCAATAGTCTTCTAATTTTATGCTTTTATAATAGAATGTAGTATGTACTGTATGCTTTC